TGCGCCCTTTAAAAAAAAAAAAAAAAAAAAAAAAAAAGGGTACGTCACCTGGGAGAGGTTTAGGTCAAGTAACTCCAATTGACTTAATTGAATAATACATTTGATAAATGTTGTGATGTCTTTAAATAAGTTATTGGGGCAGGGTGGGTGTTGTATATCTGCTTTTTTTTCCCCCTCCCCAAATTCTAGTACTTATTCAGGAAGTGAATTATTTGCCCAGCTTGTATCATGGGAGGTGTTGGGTACAGGTCCTGTACCCTTCAACAAGAATTTTACTGCAGCAAAGGATGGCCCCTGCTCTGTTACTGTGTAATGCATATACATGCTCCATGGGGGTTTGTGGCATAGAAGACCCAGGCATTTAACTGGATGTAATTCAGGTTACAAGTTTCAGTGATGAAATATCACTGTATAATTTTAGTCAGGCAGGCCCCTGTGTCAATGAGTATTATTGGTGAGCTCGGTTTGCTTCTGGTTTTGCAATATCAGCTCAGAAAACACAATGAAGTTCAAGGGCTCAGCCCCCTTACTGAGCCAAACAATCAAATCCCCACATGTTGGGAGTGTTCTGAATATCCAAGCCTCTTGGCTTTTTACTTCTCATCTGCAATCAAACTGCCCTTCATCGCTGGTGAATGCATCAAGGTCTAAACATTATAATCACCAGAGCTGTGCGGTGGAATAGCTGCGTAGAGAGCCCTCACTTAGGGGTGTCCGGGAGGCCGGCAGAGCTGATTACATTCAGACGGTCTCAGTGGAACTTCTCTGGGTTCTTACAGGCACAGGCTAATGTGGGACTTAGGATGCAGAACAGGCTTCCATTATGGGGCCTGGCTATGTGGATGCACATCTGCAAGAAAAGGCCTCCTTGTTAAAATGCACACCGCTAGCTCCAGAAGACAGTGGCTCAGCTGGGGTTCATCAATCACAACATCATTCCAGGGGACATTGTTTCAGAGCAGAGAGAGTTTTGTTCCCTTTCTGCATAGATGGCTGGGGATTTTAGTTGCGTGTAGACTAAAGGTTCAGTTAGGGTTCAGTTGAAGATGTCTATGCAGCGCCAGGCACAGAGGCATTAGGCTAGTAGGATGAGGGTAGTCATAGATTCATAGATTCATAGATGTTAGGGTCGGAAGGGACCTCAATAGATCATCGAGTCCGACCCCCTGCATAGGCAGGAAAGAGGGGTGGGTCTAGATGACCCCAGCTAGATGCATATCCAACCTCCTCTTGAAGACCCCCAGGGTAGGGGAGAGCACCCCCGCCCTTGGGAGCCCGTTCCAGACCCTGGCCACTCGAACTGTGAAGAAGTTCTTCCTAATGTCCAGTCTAATGGAACCAGCTTCACACAGCTGGGGAAGACAGTCAGGAACAGCCATTACGGCAAAGTGCCCTGCACTTTGAATGAATCTGTTGAACAGCCTGAAGACCGTTGCCCCAGGTGGGTACAAGCAGGTGCCCTGCAGCCCTTCAGGAGGTGTCCTGGCTAGCCGGATGCACCCCAGTTGGCCCTTAGCTAGGGTGGCGTTGCCTGTTATGAGGCCCTGAAGTTGGGGGGTGTTGCTAGCTGGCACCATACTATAAATAAGAATGAACTTGTCCCAGTGATTCTGTGATGAGGAACTAGCCAAGCGTACGTGTGCACTACTGTCCTTGGCAGCATGGCGTGCAAATTGCTTAGCTGTGTGTTATAGCCCTTGCGCTGCTAAAGGAGAATCTTTGCCCTAGCTTTGGTTTTGAGGGGCATGGAGAATCGAAGGCAGGGTGTTTCACTGTATTCTCACGTACTCCCTTTCAGTGGCACATGGGAGAACAGGAAGAAAATAATACACCCTTGGTTGGCCTGTGAGATGGTGGAGAGCATGCGGAGACATGGGAAATCATAGCCCACTTTAAAGAGCTACACGCAGGTTTCTGCACAGCTCGACTCCCAGCCTTCTCTTACTTGTTTACCAGCCACAGTTTCTCCTGAGCGCTCGGAGACATCTAGTGGCTGACAGGATGCGTCCTTTCCTTTCCCACGTCCTCACGACAAAGTATTCGGCCGGATCCATAGATTCGTTGGGATCTGACAGGCCCGTGTGCACTTCTGCTATAGCCTTGATCTTGTGACCCTTGGGCTGTGTCAACCATGTGCCGTAGTGCCCACACAAGTCAACAACTCATTCACTAAAGGGACTATGTAGGAGCAAGGGGGACAAAGAGACTATAGTGATTGAGGCTGCCGCCTGCCTCCATCTCTGATTTTTTTGTGTGTGTGTAGTCTTGTATTAAACACCGTGGGCCTGATCCTGATGGATGCTGGTGCTTCACGGCCCCCACGGAGGCCACTGTTTCTTAGGAGCTAACCTGGAGTCTGTTCATTCAAAGCTCTATTTTTAAAATCTACTCTCTCAAAGGGCTGTCTTTAAAATTAAAAAAAAAAAAATGTACTGGAAAAGGGACAAAATTGCTCCTCGACAAAGGAGCCTATCAGCAGCCCGTCAATAACGTGCCAAAGGCCAAAACCTGCCTTTCAAAGAGGCTTCGCAGCCACAGCGTGCACTTTGAGAGCAATTAAGGGACATGAGCAACATGATGATTATCTCACGGGTGACATTTCCATTGGCGCCTTGGGAAGGGAGAGAGCTAGGCTTGAGATGTGATCAATGCACAGCCTCCTCCAGCACAGAACGGCAGGGGCAACCGTGGGAGCTGGGCCTGGGGAGGCAAGTCCGCAAGAGGGGGGAAGAAGAGCAGGAGACGAGGATAAGCGTTTTTAAAAAAATGGAGGTGAAAGGAAGATGCTTGGAGAGGCAGGAGGAGATGAGCACAGAGGACTGGAAGGAAAGCGGGGATGGGAGTGGGTGCTCAAGAGGGTAAAGGAGTTGCAGGGTTTGTCTGTGGAGGGGAAGGTGGAAGAGAAGGAACAGCAGGACCTTGGGACAGGTCAAACCAGAGACTAGAGGGTCCCTGAGGAAGAGCAAGGGGCTGATTCAAGATGGGAGAGTCCCCAGGGTTGGTGCTGGAGCCCAAGCAGGGAGAAAAGGTTTCTACTCCAAGCCCGGCTGCAACAAAGGGAGCTGGGTTTTGTGCTGCTAATTAAAGCTGCATATTCCCAAAACAATGTATTTGATCAGATTCCTTTGGCAGTGTCCAGGCTCCAGTAGCAGGGGTGGGCACAGAGAGGATCTAGCAGGGCAGGGGCTTGGTTGTACTGTCTATTAAGGATACATTCATCATTAGTTTATAAACAGTTACTAAGGGATGGGCTGGTATGTCGCAGACATGAGGCACATGTGGCTATGAGCAATTCAGGCGAGACGGTGCCATAGGAACCTTATAAGCATCGCATTGGACTCTAGGAGTTGATGTATATTAATTAAAACATCTGTTGATTACTTAATAGCCTTTTATTGACTATTTAGGAATATGCTCCCAGTATGAAGTGGACCCAAGGTTTGCTTGTTTTCTAAAAAACCGAGAAGAAGGTGTACTGAATGGGGCTTTCTAGGCCTAGAGACCTGTCCACTGGGCAAGATGTGGATTAAATTTACTCATTGGTGAAGTGGGGTAGGGGGGGGAGAGCAAAATTATCTAGAGAATCCAGTTCAAATTGGTGATGAAATCCAGCCTAAAAAGGGGGAGGGACAATTTGAAAGCATCAAAACACTTTTATTTCAATGTTTTCTAAATAAAAGTGTTGGGCATTTCATTTTACAGCAGCATTTATCATTCAAAAAAAAAAATCTGACCTAAAATTCAACGGGCTTGTTAAAGGGTTTGAAAAAACAAAACCAAGATGAATGGGACCAAGCAAAACATTTCAGGGGGACCAAAATGAAACAGGGTGTGTGTGTAATTTAATTAAAAAATCAATTAAAAATCTAAAATTCCAGTTCACTGAAACAGTGGGAAAACCCAGGGAAAGAATGAGTGGATACTAACACCCAGGACGTACAAGCCGGGAATACAGCCTAGTGAGCTGGCTTCTAATATATAAGATAGTGCCCAGAGCAGATTGGGCTGCGTACTAGGGACAATAGTGTGTACACGAGAGCCCAAAGCTGGCTGTACTCTGTTGCATGGATGCTCTGCACAAGGCAATGCTTGCCTTTTGGCATGAACATGCACTGAGGTCCCAGGCAGGAGGCTGTGCCCAGCCATGTGGGTACGCACGGCAGCACAGAGGCACAAGGACTGTAGGTGCCCAGCTGCCATGGACTCACACTGGCTCAAGTGCGAGTATGCCCAGTCCCACCTCTGTGGGCAACAATGCAAGGGCAGCTGTTCAAAAGTAGGTAGCTGGACCAGTGAGCGTCGATCCTTTAGGAGTGCAGTGCTGCTGCACTTTTCACTCCTAATGGCCCTTTGTTAGAAACTGGATGGCATTTCATGCACAAAAACAGGCAGAATTGGCAACACCGGAATAGGTCACGGGTTGGCATCCATTTTGCTGAATGGTTCATTCTGGGAGGAGGGCAAAAAAATCCTAAAAACATTCTAATAAAATGGAAACCTTCCTTTTCAAAGTCTTCAAAAAGAAACTTCTTTTTTTCCCCCCAATGTTTCAGTTGCAAATGACTCATTTGTTTCAATGCTTTTTTTCCCCGCCAAGGTTAAAAATAACCCAAATCAAAAGTAAACTAAACATTTTAACTCTATCAAAAGTAAAGACTGCTTTGCTTGACCCAAACCAATTCTTTTTCCCCAGCTTCAGATTTTTACCCAAACTCTCGTTTTCAATCCAACCTCAGACGGTGAGTTTACTTTTTGAAATGGCCCATTAAGACAGTTCTTAAAATATATGCGTGTGTGTGTATGAATGTGCACACGCACGTACGCATGTACACAGGTGTGCCTATGTCCTCCTATACTCATGTTTCATACACAGTCTTAGAAATCCAAGAAGAGGCTGACCCAAATCATGAAAACAGCAGGGCAGCATCTTGTCTCTCTTGGAAAAGAAGGAGTATTAATTAATGAATACAATGTTCTGCTACTAGGTAAACGTATGGAGAATGACTGCCAAATAGGTGGGCCGTTCTGAAGAGATGAAGCAGCAGACACGCTGAGTCCAAAGGAATCCTCCAGGATCCCCACAGGACACCTTCATGGTGTCTTTCTTCACTGAGATGTGGTGGAAAGAGCACAATGCAGAACAGCAGGTAAAGTCATTTCCAAACCCCTTTATTATTTATTTTAAATCCCACCACTAGCTCCTCCAACAGATGCCAGGGGAGCTGCTGAGTTCTCTGCACTTCTGAATATTGGGCCTCATTTATGAGCTGAAATAATGAGTGAGAAGCTTAGTTAGACTCCTAGCTTGAAAACTAGGCTTTATATTTTCTCTGGCCCAGATCGCCTTCCTGACAGTGAGCATGGCTAATGGCTGGGTTTGTTTTATTTTCAGGTTTGCTTCTTCTGTTAGCATAAGCAGAGAGGAGAAAAGGAGGCAGCTCCTCCAAAGAGACTGGCTAAATCTTTTGACAGGATTGCTGCAATCTGACTACAAAGCTCCAACAAGCCTCGGCCTCAGGAAAATTCATCTCTGCCCTCCCAACACACCCTGGTGAGAGCCCTTGAAGTGGTAATTAAAGTCTATTGAGTGGCAACTGCACCTGTTTAGAAAGGAGTGTGGGGGGAAAAAGGTGTGCAAGGGGGGTGGGCAGCAGAGGGGGAGAGAGAGGGGACCTGAGGAGGGAGGGAAGGGGACAATTGGAAAGAGAGAGATGGAGAGGGGGAGGCACTCATATGAGAAGCAGAGGGGAGAACGGGAAACACTTGCGTCTGGACTGGTTCTGTTTCCTCTCCTGCCCCCAACACACCCTCATGCCCGTTCTCGCATGTCCAGCTTCTCCAGCACGCTCACACCCACTGATGGAAATGCCAGGGACCTCCTCTCATGCACACCAGCTACTCAGCTGGGTGGAAATCAGCCTCGCTCTCCTGAAGCTCGTATTGAGCGAGGCTGAGCCGTGCTGGTTTAGGCCCAGCTGTGGATCCATCCCAGTGGCACTTATTAACAACCGCTGGGCTCTTCAGCCTTGCAGTTGCAACAAGCAGGTTCTTGTCCTCTGCTTTGTCTCTCCGTGAAGCAGACACACAAAGGGACATGCTCTGCTCAGCTTGGCTGACAACATCAAAGTTATTGTGGACTTACGCAGGCTTAAATGAGACCAAAACCTAGACAGCCAACGGATGATCCCAAAGGCGGCCAGAGATGGACAAGAAGGGTGCCAACCCCCTGTTTTCCATACTTGGGGATAGACTCATGCCCCATAAATTGACTTCCCTGTTCCAAATGAAAATGTCAAGAAGGGCTTTAGGGCCAAATCCACTGCTGGTTTAAATTGCTTGGAGCTCTACTGACTTCAGTGGGGCTGTGATGACTGATGCCAGCAGAGAGCACAGCTCATCCCACAGAACCGCAGACTGGGCCACAATGGTGAATCTGGCGAAGGACACACAGGATGGCAGTGGGAAATTTGCAGATGTTTGCATGGGGGTGGGGGGTAAGAATAAGAAGCAAGTTCAGTGTAGTACTCAGGACTGGCTCAGCTACCAAGAAGGTAAAAAATATGGCCGGGGGTTTTGCCTACCTGAGCGAGCAGGCACTGGTGGCAGGAACAAAGCAAGGTCTGAAAGCCTTAGTTACATTGCTGCAGGTTCAACCATGCCCTTCATCTGCTGATCTTGTTAGTGCCCTGAAGCTTGTCCTGGATGGATCAGTAGCACACAGTCTTCATGTCTGAACTTCTGTCTCCTCCACCTGGAGGCTGAAGACCAGACCAGACTTGTATGAGTGGCTCAGTGGTGGTGGGTGTATGTTTCTAGCAATGCAAGTGATCTACCGTCACTGCAACCCTTCATGTGTTCTAGCAAGAAACTGGGCCAGACTGGGATTCCCTGAGACTGGAGGGAGGGATTATCCTCTGAGCACCCTGAGGCTGAGCTGAGCAAGTGACTCAAGCAGAATAATTTGACTGGTTTTTGCAGATGTTTCTGTCTCGCTGGCTTTGATGGCAGACAGTCCCCTGTGAGTCCCTGACCTTCACACCAGGGGAGCTGGCTGGGATTGTTCGGTGAAGCCATGCAACAATATTCCTGTTCCCAGCCTGTCGCAGCACGCGAGCCTTTCTGTGATGACACCGTCACATTCATTTTCTGCAAACGCCGGCCCCGTCTCTCCACATCCTGCTCCCCACCAGTGTCTGGGTTGAAAACTTGGTGAAGGTGCATTGGTTGGATGAAACTGCAACAGTAGCTACATGCAGTTAAAGCAAATGCTTTTGGGAATATTGAGAGCGTGGACGGATGAACAGTTACACTGCTTTAAATGGGAATGGCAGCTACTACTTGCAAGTGATCCATTGCAATCGCTCTATCTGCTTGCTCCTATCCCACCATAAGTGAAGGTGGGCTTAGCTTCCCATGAGAGAAATAGGTGCACAGACAATGGTTGCACCAGATTCACCTGAACTGGGATAAATTCCCCCAAAACAGTATAACTCTTGTCTGTCCACAAGCTACATGACTGTTCACTAGGTTTTGCCCAGCCCTGTGTGGAGGCAATCCCACAGGGGTGGGATTTTCACTAGCCTGTTTCCCTTCCTCATGGATCACTGCCCATTAGGAGCTCCAGAGCCTGGGAGCCATGCAGTCGATAGGGAAAGACAGAGAGAGACAGGAGCTAGAAACAGTGGCTGTGCTCATCTGCCCTTCTTCAGCCAGCATGGAGAACCAGGGGCTTTGGAGAGAGGAGGAAGGGGGGTCGGGTATGCACTGAGCTAACTTTCACGCTCCATGGAAGCTATGGAAAAGCAAGGATGCTGCAGTAAGAGGAGCTGCTTTGGGCTGACAGCAACATGAGTGAGTCAGTCCAGCCCAGCAGAATAGACACTCTGATTCTGTCCCTATGTGGCCCTCACCCTGGGGGGATTCAATAGACTTTAGTGGACTCAACCTTAATTCATGATTAGACTTGGGTGCAGGGTATAGAACTGGATGCAGCATCTGCAGTCAGCATTGGGGTGCAGAGGAGAACAAGCAAGGTAGTCACCCTGCAACCAGAGTCTCATCAAAGATCTTCCACTTAGGGCCCAGCCATGCAAACACTTGTATGCTGTGGGACTTGAGCATCTGTGAGACCAGGCTGCGAGCAGGCATCAAAATGGTTGAGAAGCCCCTGTGGCTTTAGTTTTGAACCTCTCCCTTATATTGGTATAAATCTGGAGTAACTGCATTATTCTTTGTGTTACAGCAGCACTGAGAGGCCCTCCCTGAGGTTAAGGCCATGTTATGCTGGGCACTGCAGAGACCTGTAGTTGGTTGTCCACTGGAGGTAGGACAAGAAGTAATGGGTTTAAACTGCAGATGCAGAGATGTCGATTAGACATTTCCTGCATGCTAGGGTAGTTAAATGCTGGAATAGATTACATCTGGAGACTGGGGAATCTCCACCACTGGGGGGACGTTAGGAGCAGGTTGAACAAATCTGTCAGGAATGGTTTCTCATACCTTGAGGTAGGGGGATGAACCAGGAAGCCAATCCTGGGCCCTCCAGCCCTACTTTCTGTGGTCCTGTAGTAAGAGAAGGCCTCTGCCCCAGGAAGTTTTAGACTCAGCAGATTAGACAGATGAAGGCTTTGGCAGATATAAGGGCCACATCCTTCAAAGGGGCTCAGCCCCAGCACCCATGGCTCTTTGGACCATTTGGCCACTTGATTTGGGAGCTGGGCTCTTGTGGGGAGAGGGAAAACAGACCCACTGGAAGTTGTCTGGGACTACATCAGAAATCTGTGACGCAGCCCAGATTTGGACGCTAGGTCTCCTGAGTTCCTGGCCAGGGCCTTCACACATCCTTCCCTCTCATGGACCACTGAGGCCATGCCTTGCATCAGTTACATTTGTCTTTTGTCCCCCAAGCATCCCTGCCACATCCTCCGCGTTGTTCTTCCATCACTCTCTGATTGCTGAGCCGCTTTTTGACTTTTCCATCAATAACTCTAAAGAACAGGTCCCCACCAACCTGTCCTCTCCCCTCCCCATGGTTGCACATCAGGCAATCTCATCGATCAGAGCTGCTCAGGAAATATCTGGTGTTTTGTTGTCAGGATGATAATAACATTGCGGTTGTGAATGGGCTGCTTCAGGCCTGATCAAGGACACCTGCAGCGTTTGTTTAATTGCATTTAATGACAAATCCTATATGGCGGAGCACAGCTAGAGAGATTTATTATCTGCCGAAGAGGCAAAGCACAACAGCTCAAAATATAATTTGCACCAAGCATTTCCCGCCCTCCCCACCTGCCTGCCCAGTCCCCGTCTCTCCTTAAGCCACTGTAATAAAAAATAAGTTGGGTACAGTGGGCACCACCAGACTCAGCTGGGACAGGGATGTAAACCAAAGGAAATTGCAGCAATAAGGCCATGCTGTTTTTTCCACCACCCCTGTGGTCTGTTCTATAGGAAAAGCTGTTGGTTTAATTTACAGCCTGGAAGAGCCACTGGAAATCTCTCCATGAAGGGCCAGCCTCTTCTAAGGTAGCTTGAGGCTAAGCTCTCCATCCCCATTATCTGCGACTGGGCCATTTCCAACATGTTCCAGCAGCCCAGTTTGGAGCCTGTGTATATAGGAGGTAGGTTGGAAGGGAAGGAGTGGTGGATTCCAGCATCGGAGGTTGAAACAGCTCCAGTCTATAGCAAAGCAGCTCTCTCGCTGTCTGAACCTCTGGGATGATTGGTATTGCCACACCCAAGCCTGAGAAACACTGAGCAGCTTCCATTGACTTCAGTAGGAGTTACAGGTACTCAGCATCTTTCAAGATCAGGCCCTTGATCTACTGAACGCTCACCACAGCATGGCATTTGCTCACAGGCCGTTGACATGCTGCCCTCGGGTAGGCTCACAGATAAGCCTACAGGGGGTTACTACCGCCTCCAAAATAAATCAGCTTCTGATCGGTCACCATTTTATTCTTTTTCTTAGACCTGTGAATAAATGCAGCAACCTGATTGACTGCCACTGATTTCATTTGGTATCAAGAGAAGGTGGAATTTTTGTTCGGCTCCTGGACTTTGACTTAAGGGGGTATTTCCCAGAGTACCAGTCAGGGATAAGTCATATCTCAGCCTCCTACAGAATCTCATCCATGTGCATGTGGCTAGTGTGAAGCCCAAGTACTATTTAAGTCCTAATTATTCCTCAAAATACAGATTAAGTGATGCCTAAGCCTTCTGCACAGGGGTGAATTTCCCCCCTCTCCCCCAAGAGCAAACTTTTGCTACAGAAACACACTATTTGGCACCAACCAGAAAACAACATTCTTCTAAGCAGTGTATGGCCTGGGGACAGTGTCCGTCACCATGCTCAGGCTGGTGATCCTGATTTAAAGTAAATAATCTTAATAGTCCTCTAACACTTACTTTCGAGTAAGAATAAATACATCAGTGGGAAGCCGGTATAATATACTGGTGGTAGGCTTTGAGAGGCTGATACAGGGTGCAAAGAACATATACAGGGGGCAAGATTTGTTCTGCTCACTCATGGCTGCTTATCATGACTCTCCCTCCTTGCTAGCTAACTCCCACTGGTGTGGAAACTTTGTCCTTGAGACTTTGTACTCCACGTTCACAAGCCACTTGGCTTGAACACTAAATTCTGACTCGGGTGTGCATTTTATCCTGATTCAATCCAATCCCAATTGACTGGAGGAGGAATTTGGATAAATTCTGGGTGAGATCCTGGCACTCCCTCATGCCGAAGAGCACCCAAGGGTTTGTACTGATGTCACACCTAGGAACAAGAGGCATAGGTGGCTGTAGTAGTCTGAAGTCAAGTAGAAGCCAGGGTAGATTTGCACCTTAGACTAGCCAAAGTGGATGCCTATCATGATCCAAGTTCCGGGGTGGCAGGTACTGTTCAAGCATGGAAGACAAAGGCAGTGCTTGCCCCAAAAAGCTTCCATCCTAGGTGCAAGGCAGGAGGCAGTGGATGGGTATGAAATCAATGGGCCCTATTGCAGAGGAAGGGAGTGAGGAGGTGGACTCCGACCCTCAGCCTGCCCCTTCTGTTTGACTGCAGTGGTCCATGTCACACTCACCGGGACGTATTGCACTTTGGCTCCTGAGTCCCATGGGCCTTTGGTGGCTGAAAGTGCATGACTTTCAGCCCCATCAGGCTCCCAGCCTCTGCGCTTGGTTTACCACTTGCCCCCAACACAAGCGTGCAGCTCATAAACCACCTGGGTATATTGGGGCGGAACAGAGCTTCTTGTTCTCCAAGCCTCAGTAGGAGCGCATGAAACAAAGAAAGGTGGCCCTTTCCTAAAGAGCTTAGCTGCACCATCCAGGTAACCACCAGCACCTGGTGCTATCATTACACAAACAGGGTGTAGAGTAACACCTGGGCAGTAGTTGCAGCCAGTACCTGGACAATGCAGGTATTATGATTATCTCTATTTAATAAGGCTGCGGCCAGCTGTGTCTCTGCTAGTATCAGCTCCAGCTATCACAAACACTGGTGCAACCCAGGCTCGCGCAATGGACTCTTATCTCCCAAGCAGTACAAATCCTCAGAGTGAAATGCCCATCTGGAGTCAGATTAAATTGTCCATGGAGAGTCTGTGTAGAAATCAGAAAGTTCGGGTTCCCGGTTTGCTTGCCCATTTGAGGGCTGGGCCTTTCTTGACCAGCTCTCTCCTTGCTGTGAGATGTATAGAGGCCAGGCTCTTGAAAGCTGCATTTGCTTCTCTTGCCTTATTATATCGTCTTGCACATGGCTGAAAGATCAGTGAGAAGGTAAGGACAGTCCAGAGCAGACTGCCCTACCTGAGCTCTCTGTGGCCTTGATGAGTACACCTCCTTCCATAGGCAGCACAAGCAAAGAATCATTTGAGCACCAGGCTGTTAACATGAAGGATATTGTCCTTGTCACCCACTAGTCAAGATATATAGAAGCATTAAAAGAAGAGATCTGAGAGGTGGGAGCAAGGCAAGACCTGGGAGAAGTGAAGAGCCAGAAGCAGAAAAGAGCATCGCTGCTGGGTTTTGATCACTGGTGTCAGTCACCCGGTAGGGCTAGCCTGGATTCAAAGAAACGGCAGGGCTCGCCAGCTTGTCTTCCCTTCACTGCCTGACTCCTTCCCCAAATATGTTGTTGCACCTACTCGGCTAAGATATGGCCTGGGGCTGGGCAATTTGATAGAGGGCTGTAGACAAGAGCCCAGCTCCAAAAGGGGCTGTAGAGAAAAGTGAAGAGAAAAACCTGCTG